CCAAAGCTATACACATCACTTTTATCTGTAAATCGATTTGAATGGAAGTATTCCGGGTCCAAGTAACCAAATGTACCATTAACAAGTGTTGTCACGTGAGTTTGGTCAATGGAAACTGATCGTGAAGTTCCGAAATCAGCAACTTTTGCTCTGTATTTTTCATCCAGAAGTATGTTTGTTGATTTGATGTCCCTGTGGAAAATGGGAAAGGAAGCTGCAGCATGTAAGTAGGAAAGAGCTCCTGCAATTTCTGTGGCAATTCGTAACCGCATCGCCCATGTAAGTGGAAACTCCTCAACTTTCCCTTGGATATACTCAGCAAGGGTTCCGTTGGGTATGAATTCATAAACCAAAAGAGGAACTTCAGTCTCCAAACAACATCCCAATATTTTAACCACATTCCTGTGGTTAATTTGTGAAAGGATCACAACCTCATTAATGAATTCTGAAAGTTTGCCTTCATCCACTATTTTAGACTTCTTTATAGCAACGATTCTTCCATCTGCCAACATGCCTTTGTAAACAGTACCTTGGCCTCCATGACCAAGAATTCTATTAATTTTAAAATTATGGGTGGACCTCTCTAACTCCTTGGATTTGAACAACTTGATTTTCTCTACATTACCTTTATTTGATGATAATTGTTGCTCTAACAATAAACCACCATTTCGTTTGAAAAACATTTCCTTGCGTTTAATCTTTTTCCTTTTGTGTATACCTTTGTATACATATATAAGTAGCCCAAGACTCAAGCCAAGACCTGCATACGTATATAACTCAATCAAGTAGTTCTTTAAGCACAAACTTCATAAACATCTAAAACTTTAAAAAGCGCAACATAAACTTATATCATCTGGCTACATTTTCTTTGTTGAAATTCTTAGAGGTCTTCTGCCTCATTTTTATAGAACCAGCTCTGAAAGAGAGAATTTGGTTTTGACATCTACTTTAAAAAATTGTTTTTAAAAGCTTAAATAGCAAGAGTTAATGAACCATGGAGTGCATACGTACCAAGAAGAATGATTTGGATTGGAAAGAGGAGAAGCGACCATCTGGTAGGGAAGAAGCATTGAGCATCAGCTGTACCATAATACTGACATGTAATACCAGTTTCAATTGAGTAGCATCTATGACCTCCAACATAATTCTCACACCTATTTGTGTCACCAAAATTCGTTGCAGGATCATCAATCTTACACCGATTATTAAGGCCTTTGCATTCATCTATATCTGAAATGAAAACAACAGAAAGACAAATATTGGCCGGCCATGATGGTGACTGCTGATGCTTACTCATTCATAAATGAAATATATATATATATATATATATATTTTTTTTTGGCTACTGATAAGGATCGGGTAATTCATTTTCACTTTTCTTAAGAAATGTAGTAAGAAAGAAATTAGTGAAAAAGAACTATCGGAATAAGCTGCAAGTCCTAGGATGAAACGAAATGGAATCCAGTATTTGGTGCATTCCGCTCCAAAAGGGAAACATCCACATGTGCCTGTCACTTGGAAGTGCAGATTGACAGAACAATCCAGTTAAAAAAATGGCATGCACTATTTTAATTTGCCTCATCGGCTGCACAACCACGCGGCATGAGAAGTCACACTGAAATCTTTCTGGCTCCAAAGGGTTGGGGAACTTCGATCCAGAAAAGCTATTAAATTTGTGCAAACATGTTTAATTTGAAGCTTTGGATATATAGTGGAACATGTTTATAATCAATGAATTACCTTGACAAGGTTGGAGAAGATACGGACTTCCTTCAAAGCCGGGCGGACAGAAACATTCAAGCTTTGAATGATTGTAATGATTGAGTGTCATAAAAAAACTGGCACCATATGTTCTGCAATAGGGTGTGGGGCCCCTTACTTGAAATTGCCGCATAGAAAGGGGTAATGTTACAATATGTCCTTCATACAGTTTGGCTAACGAACTATTCATACTGTCTAAGCTTAAGCTCCATTCTAGCACCACAGGAACGCTGCCCTTGTCCTGGAAATATGTAAAATTCGAAAAAGTATTCTCAAACTCTTCTTGCTCAATAATGAAGGCATAGTTGTAGCCATCCATTCCCATTCCCGTTCGTGTCCCTGTTCCCATTCCCATGTGGTCATTTCCACCAGTGGCTTCTTCATATTCAGCCTGCAACTCAACGGTGATGGCAGTGAGATATGCCGGAAAGGTAGTCTGGCAACAGTTAATACCAATACATCCATAATTGCGTCTAGAATGATAATTCTTATCACAAGTTGACATGCACCCACCAACAACATTCTCATCTGACCTTACCACCAAAAAGAATCCACAACTCACTGCAGTGAGTCTATTGTATCTCTCTGAGTACACGAAAGGGCTTCCCGTCAAATTTGGCGCTACTTGGCGAATTCCATTTCCTCCATAAAAGAAAGTAACAGGGTTGTTAACCCGAAGCGTGCCATCAATAGAAATACTGAGCACCTCTAGCTTGGCAAGCCTCAAGAAAGGCCTGGGTGGGATGGTAGTGTAGTCACACTCAATTTCAAACCAATCATACAAGTAACAATTGCTGCTAGGGCCAATCCCAAAAGGATATGGGACGGTAACATCTCCGCAATGCGTTTCACAGTTAGGCTTTGCTATTGGTGCTAATTGATCTGATGATGATGATGCTGCTCGACTTATGAGCCATAACAACAAGATGATCATATGAAGAAGAAATTGCATATTGCAATCATCAATTCGACTTCTATCTTCTTTCTCTTTTCTCTTACTTATTTGCTGAGTAAGAAGTATATGTGGTCCGATGGAGGCTTTTGGTTGAGAAGGTTTGTGGCCTTCCAAGTGTGTGTTCTGTGTTTTACCTTCTTGGTCTTCTGGTCATTGGGTTGTTTTGAGTGTGTTTGTTTTTAGCTTCTTGTTGTTCTTTTGTCTGTTTGTTTTGAGCCTGGGCTGTATGTCCAATAAGTCCTGACAAACTGTCCAAATTTGAAGAAATTTAAGGTTTTGTTTAATTTCTTTGAACTTACCGTAACGAGGAAAAAGATATGCCAACAGACGCAAAAAGATAGGCTAAAACAGAACCCTCCTCAAGGTTTGGCCAAAAAACAAAAGTGGAGGGAAGTTCAAGAATTCTAAAGCCCCAACTCATGGTATAGTTGGAGATAATGATGTACTATTTCCATTGGAGTTCTTCCTAATTTTGAATCTCTGAATTGTTGCTGATTAAGCCAAAGAGAAACCAATTTGGTTTTTCCTTCTTGTTTATTTCTTCGAGATTCATTACTTAATAGAAGTACATTACAGAATATAGGGTCCAAAATATGATGTAATTGTCTACAATATTGAATCAAACTTCCAATACAAGAAATATTTTGTACACCAACACCTGAAGACACTTGTGGAAGCCCAGGTGCAGTTCTTAGGCGATCATACCACATTCTCACCGGCTCTGGAGTCTTGCTTGTTGGAAATCTTTTGATGAAATGATGAAATTGGACCGCCATCCAAAAGCTGACCATGTTGATTTCGAAAAGCATCCTAATACTCAAAATAAACGTATTTATAATTTGGTTCATGAATATTAGAAGTTTTTTTGGGAGATTTGGAGGGCCTCCAACTCGGCTGTAACCTCTCTCATTGTAGGACGATCCCTCCCATTCAAATTTAGGCACATTCTTGCAAGGTTAGCAAATAATCTGATCTCTGTTTCTGATCCTTCCTTCAAAACTCGAGCATCAACAATGTCAAATAGACGATGTTCTTGCATTGATGTGATGAAGTATGTAGCAAGACTTGTGTAGTCTTCTTCCTGTGACCCTGTTATTGCAAAAATTGGTTTTTGTCCGGTTAAGAGCTCAACAAGGACTACTCCAAAGCTATACACATCACTTTTCTCCGTAAATCGGTTTGATTGAAAGTATTCCGGGTCCAAGTAACCAAACGTACCATTTACAAGTGTTGTTAAGTGAGTTTGGTCGGTGGCAATTGATCGTGAA